CACTTTGTTCTCCTGAGTGTTCAGCATCAAGTGACAGAGCATCTTTGCAGTTGTCTGGTAATCATGAGGGCATTGCCTGTGCTCATGGCTTCCCTGAGAAGAAACCATTAAGATTTTTAGATCCCCATTTCTCTTTTCTGACATTACCTGAAGAAGGCAAACCAGAATCTGTTCAAAATAACCACTTGTTTCTGACTTTATGTCTTCTTCCAGATCAGAATTGTATTCTATGCAAGAGGAAACAAAAGGACAAGAGAAAGTGGATTTATTATTTGGATGACAAAGTCAGGATATCATCAGCCACCCAATTATTAGTCAATAAGGTCACTAGGGAAGGACCCAGGGGTGAGATCAGCCCACATGCCCAGTGACACCCAGATTGGCATTCCCACCTGTGGCCAAGTATAACACTAGAGCCGCTGATGTCAAAGGCATAATCCAACATTTACTAGAGTTGCTGATGTCAAAGGCATAATCCAACATTTATAGCTGGGGATGTATTTTAAGGGTGTAAAGGGATGTCAACATGTATTGACACATATTTAACATTTTCCCCATCTATGGTATATTTAAGGTGTAGAAATAAAGTGAGTATATATATTGTCATCTGTTCATTGAAAACAGTCTGTGTCCCAGCAAAACCAAATTTGTGTTTTACTGACCTGTTCCATCAACAGGTTGGGAAAGGAAAGGGATTTTCGGATTTACTTAGCACAGACATGTTCTGTTTACCAAGCAGAGTTCAGCTGTACCTTCTTAATTTTGAAATCCTACTTTGTTGCTGACAGTGTTAGTGGGTAACGTTGTTCCTACTGTGCAATCACACAGCCACACATTGCTCTGGTCACACAAAACGGAGCCCCAGGCCATTTACCTTCTTTGTATGCCTTGATTATCTCTCTGATCTGCGCTTTTGTCCGTGAGGCCAGGATCTCTATGATGGTATCTTCACTTGTTCCCAGACCCTTTAATTGAAAACACAGTGGAGAACAGTGGGGGAAGGTATCTCATCATGCAGTGAAATCCACTGCTAGAGAAGTATCATCAAATGAGCTGATGGCAGCAAAGCGTTTTTGGTTGGGTGTTGAACACTTAAGATCAAAAATTGGGACATACTTGGTTTGGGCACAGATTTGTTTACTAAAATACACATTTTTTAAATGATAACTTTATACACCTGTGGTTTTTTTTTTTTTTTTTTTTTTTTTTACAATGCAGTTTTGGATCTTGATCTTTGATGACAGACAGTATTAGAGAGATGAGGTGAGACCAACTCTTGTCCAGTCAATACATCTGTGTGTCATTTCCATAGACCTCTCAATCTGTGATTTTAATGATACTGTGTGAACAGGTAATGTCCAGTCCTAACCCAACCCTCTTGCTGTCACTCATTGACTTCCTAAAGGCTTCACTTCTCACGTGGGGTTTCAAGGTAGCAGCCTGGCCTGAACTCCTCCACACACAAGAGACTGCAGAAAGCAGTGAAGTAGTGCGTAGCTGGAAACTGGCATTTGTGGATGATCATTCTTGGACAAGGCAGAATTTAATCCTGCTGTTGCCTTTCCCAAACTCTACAAGATATGCAGAAAAATCAAAATGTAGCCCTAAGTATTAAAGTAGCATTTTTCCCAGCATAAATGTGCTTTAATAGAAACCTGAGAAACTGTATCACACAACACTCCAGTCAATATCACTTGCATCACTTGCACAGTCACAGGAAATTAGCACTGGAGCTAGGCTGTTTCTTAATAGCAGCATGCAAGTAACTCACCTTCATGGCATCATAAAGCTCCTTGGCCTCATACTTGAACGGGGGATACATGAGAGCTACAATGAGCCTCTCAAAATCACCACTCAGCTCCGACTTCAAGCTTTCAATCAGATCCTGTTAAACATGCACCACAATTTTTAAAAAGGCACTCTATTCATTGTCCCATATTACTCATTTGTCCTCCTTTCTCACACCACACACATAGCTGCAACAACTACAGTTTGTTTTCCTCTTGAAAATATCATTAAAATAGGTCTTTACTTTGATTTTTTTTGTAAAAGGGCCTCAGATAATTTTTAATCCAAATGACATTTAAAAGGATAAATTGTTATAGTTTCAAAATAAATTATGCTTTAAGTCAAAGTAGATTTAAATATATATGTTTCTGGTAAGGAAAAAAAATGCCATTTTCAGGAAAATGGCAATCTTGGAGAAAATCCAGTTTTTCCACTAAAGCATAATTTAACACATTTGTCCCAGACCTTACAATCAAATATCAATGTATTTCGAGAAGAACTGAAAACTGTTTGAACCATACACCCAGCTGCTTCATTCTGGCTTTAGTGAAACGTGACTGAATATTGTTTTGAGAGAACCTTTCCAAACTGAGCCTTGAAGGATTTGGCAATCTCTTGACGCTGCCTATTGCTCCTCTTGGTTAGGACATCAATTATAGCTTGCTCATCAGTCCCTAGGGAGAACAATAAACCATTAACACAGTGCACAGTATTAGTTGCGACTAGTCTCAAATTCAGTTTCAAGTACTCAAGCAGCCTTTCCTAATTCACTGCCTTCATGATGTAGAAATTCAAGTGTTTCTTAAGGAAGCTTTAATTTTGACTCCTCCACATAAAAACATGACATCTCTGGCTGCAATTTTCTTAAGGAAGGGCTTTCAACTGAAATATTATAAGCCTAATACATAAGAGTTTACATACATGCTTGATATTAAATGAAGTCAACTCACCAAGTCCCTTCATGGCATTGTACAGAGTCTGAGCATCAGGCTTGGGGTCAAAGCTCAAAGCACCTGTGACAGACCTGCCCTCCTCTTCACTCTGAAAGAAGAATATGAGGCTTTTTTTTTTCCTGCTGCTTTTCATTAGCTGAATAAAAAGCATTTTGGAAAGGAAGTTAATGTTATTATCCCTGGCCTACACCTTGGGAAGACACAGAGAAGTGCAGGATTTGCTTCAGAGTTATCTGTCAGGGTAAAGCGCCAAGCAGAACATGTTTCCTGCCTCTGGCTGGCTGCACTGGCCCATGGCTCCTGGCTGAAATGTGAAATGCAAAGCAGCAGAGCATAACCTACCCTGTTGTGACAGCCTAAGTGCAGGCAGCCCCAACAGGAAAAGGCTGAAGAAGCCAGACTTTTTGATGCGCTCCTTAAAGGCAAAGCTTCAAAGCATGTACGTTGTTCTACTCTAAGGAAAAGTGGTTGCGACTTACTTCATACAAGCTCATCCAAATTCTGCCTTGGAAAAATTGTCCCTGGAGAAGAGCCCTTCCTAAGCTACCCTTCACACAATCATTGCCAGGCAGAAGAGCTTGCTAAACTTTCATTCAGGACTTTCACTCCTGTTTTTAATGACAGTCTACAGGATTAATGCTGGACACTAACTGAGCACATGGCCAAAAAATGCAAAGTCAAGCCTAGCACCACAGGCAAGGCATGAGCTGAGGCTCGGGATGGCTGTGCAAGCCAGCCCTCGTGTCCTTGCGCAGCGCTCTGCTGGTAGTCACAGCTGGCACATGCCTGTGTGTGCATCGAGCTCTGGGGGCAGTGACAAGCAGCTAAAATGTAATGATGCCCAACAAGAGAGAATGATGTGTGCAAACACAGAAGGATCTGGAAGCCCTCCTCTGTTCACAGCCTGACATCAGCATGGGACTGTGTGTCACACTCTGCCACGGGCAGGAAGCAGTTGTGGGGAGGAGGCTGTGGGCAAGTTCTCAGCCCTCTGGTTCTGTTTTCGCCAAGTGAGGATCCTCTCTAGCTACATGCTGCAAAAAAAAGCTCTAGATCTGTGCCCAGTAACTCCGGGAAAGAGGTAGTGTAAGCTGAGCTTTCATTTACATAGAGGTTGGAGTATGTGGGAACCAGTCAAACAAAGGACTCTCTAAACTAATTCCAATAAAGATTTACAGCCCATGGTGGCTCAAGTAGCTGACTCATGACTCACATACTACACCTCATTTTTGTGCAAATACCTGTACCTTTGCTGAAGCAATCGCATGAGTTTAACACAGAAACCCTGTTCCATTTGGTCTCTTTTCCAAGATGAAACTGATCCTATAATTACCTGACTGAAACTAATCAAAGTATCTGTGTAACTGTCAGGTGAAGACCAATAATTGGCAGGAAAGCAGTGAAATCAGTTTACCTTACAGCTGGTGCTCTGAAAAGCTTTAATTTATGAATGGAGGCAAGGGGGATAAAAAATCCTATCAAAATATTTTCAAATCTAAATTGTAATTTATTAAAAATCCAAAATTTATGGGGACAGGCGGAGTTAGCCTTTTGTTCTTTAGAAAGTTTAAGAATAAAATTCATGTTTTTCATTTATTCAGCTTTGAATTGTGATTTTCGTGAAGAATTTGGAAAAAGTCAAAATAAATGTTCTACCCTTCTTCCTTTGGCCTCTCCTATTCTCTCCACAGCTCTACTCTCTGCATCACCAATACATAGAAGATTTCTCAAGCTTTTAAACGCTTTACTCCTTTTACTTTTTCACTCTGTTTTCAAACTATTTCTAGCTTGAAAAAAAAAAGGGGGCGGGGGGGAAGGGGTTGGTGAGGAAAAGCAAGAATGAGCATCTTCCTCCAAGCAAAGCCTGCATGGCACTGGCAGTGCTGCTGGTGGCTCTGGAGACCCAGCTTTTCCATCACAGCTCCTCCTTCCCATGCTGTGCTCCCGCTCATCTCCAAGACCTGGGCTCACAGGAGTCCCCACATCCCAGCCGCTGGTGTGAAGCAACGCAAGCAGCCCTGCTGACATAGGTGACAGCCCATGTGGCCCCAGGCACCCTCTGCTTGGCCCTGCTGAGGCTGCTCAGGGCACAGGGCAAGCGCCCTGGGCCATGGACTGCCCAAAGCCACAGGAACCCCAAAGGTGCCCTGCCCAGCGATGCTGCCTTCAGCGAGACGATGCCTGCCCCATTGCATGTCACAGCAGGCAGCGGTATGCAAAACCCAGCGAGAAAACGGGCACGGCAAAACCCAGCGAGAAAACGGGCACGGCAAAACCCAGCGAGAAAACGGGCACGGCAAAACCCAGCGAGAAAACGGGCACGGCAAAACCCAGCGAGAAAACGGGCACTGCAGCTTGGTCAATCTCCCTCGGTGGCTGTGATCTGCTCCTGCAATTGGGAACCAAGATGGAGACAAGACCAGTGCCCTGAATCACTGCCCAGAGCAGGGGGAAACGGAGCCCAGGTCTTTTGGAGCTCTGGCAGAGCTCAGCATTTTCCTCAAGCCAGGAAGCAGGTGAGTGCCTCCTTTAATCAAAGCTTTGGAAGCCCTTTAAAAACTGTTTTAGTCAGATAAGCAGCAAATACATCTGTCAGATTTCTAAAGGGAAGCATTTCATTTCCACACAGCAATTAATGCAGCACAATGTTATCTCATCGTGGTGCTAAAATGAAGGGGTCTCACTTTGATATCAATTTCCTCTACTTACCCAGGCCTTCCACCATGCCATTGCTGTCTCAGTAGCTGTTTCTTGGCCTGTTAATGAGTAAAACCACACATTTCACAACTTGCATTAATGGAACTGGGTTGGGGAGGGAGGGAGCAGAGAAGGAAGGAAGAAAAGTTCTTTCCAATAAACTTACCACAAGAAAATTAGAATAACTGTGCTGCTCAAGAGGTTTATTCCCTCTGGAAACTACAGGGGTAACTGGCTTCTCTGTGCTGGGAAAGCACAGGTATAAATCACCTTTAACTACAAATTCCACAGGGCAACACCCTCAGACATGGCTCAACCTGTTTTTCACATATGATCTCACAGGGAGAGATCAAGTTGCTTAATAAACCTGGCTTTCCTTGTGAAGAGCCCTATATTCAGCCTCAGTTGACTAAAATACACTTTAGTTTTTCCACTGAGCCTCCCTTCTCCTGCCCCAGCATTTTGGCCTCTGGCACTGACACAACATATAAACTAGATCCAGGTAATTCCCGGAGTAAGACTCCAGTGAGACTCAAGGAGTTCTGCCACAACTAAATAGGCCACTCACTGTTAAGGACTGGTTCTCTCAACCAATGTGGACCACAGCAAAACAGGACACTAAAACTTTACAAACCCTCCCCAATTTCCCTTCCTTCAACAAGGCCTACTAAAATAAAAATCATGTCCTACCTTTTGCAGTAAAGCAGCAGACTGGACAGAGAGACTTGAGAGGTCTCTCCCCTTCCCTTGGCTAGACTTGCATGACTAGAAAAAGGAAAAGTCTCTAGGCTAACATAGAATCAGTACATTGAGGTTCTCTACTGCCAATGATGCCCACCTCGACAAGATTATCATGGGACTTGCATTAGCTACTGTATTTACATTAAGGTTCGGCAGGGGACTCCTCTTTTTTTTTTCTCCCCTTTTTATGTTTGTTTTAAAAAACAGCTCTTGACACATTAATTCGGGTAAGTGTTCCTATGAAACCAGCTGAAATATCTTATGGTTGTAGCAATATCTTCCTGTCTAGACTTTTGTCAGAATTTACCCATGCCAGCATTTATTTATTTTAAATGGAAAGCTACGCCGGTGGAAACATTCCTACCAGCTCTAATCTTAACCCTGGCTATAGGGGAACTTTGTCCCCTCTCTGTCCCCTCTCCCAGTTAAACACCCATGTGGAACCCATGTTGGGTTAATGCCAAGGTGGGGACCTCCCTTTCTGCCTTCCACATGGTGGTTCTTTGTTTAACCCAACAAGATCCCCTATGGCCTGGGAAACTGCCCTGGTTATTCCCACTGGAAGTAGCTGTGCTGGCTGCTTCCCTGCAGACACATCCGCCACATGGAGGGGACAGTCTGACTGCAACAGCGCTCATGGGAGGAGGAAGCATCGCTGTGGCGTAGTCAGCACAGAGCTAGAGCCCGCGTTGCCCTGCCTTGTCACGCTTCGGAGGCAGGGCTAGGATCAGCACACAGCAGCACGGCCCAGGAGCAGCCCTCCATCCCAGCCTCCAAGCCAAAAGCAGGCCGAAGCCGGTGGCCTTGTTTTGCTGGATCCCATGGCTGCGCCTGACTAGTTACACAGGCCTTTTCCCTGCACTGGGATTTAATTAGGTCAGCCTGCCACAGAGGTCAGTTTTCTTGAGGGCTGCAAGGACAAAGAAGCCCTTCAAGACAGAAAATTGCAAAGTTACAGCAAACAGCTATAGGTCACAGAGGGGAGCAGAGACTAACCCAGACAGAGAACAGGAGAAAGTCCAAGGAGACGTTTTTGCAAGAATGAATGGGAAAGACTGCAGGACACTCATAGGGCATTTTAATAGGAGAATTGTTTCAGTGTGCAGAAATGATGGCCAGATTTTAAAAAATCTGTACAGACAGGCAGGGTAAGGCCTGGAGAAGCTGAATAGTCTATATCCAAGTGCAGTAGTACTGCTCTGAACCAATTCCTGCTCCTCCATATTCATTGTGTTTTAACATGCTAAGAAAAATTGATGCTTTTCTCATGCGAGTGGTGAATCTTATTCCAGCCTCAGCATCTGGTGAACGGAGCTTCGATGCAGCAAGGCTCAGAGCAAGGCTGAGCAGCCTTAACAGGCCAGAGCAGCGGGCACCCTCAGGCTGCTGCAGCAGAGGCACCACTGCAGATTGCCCTTTCTTTTGCCAGCGCAGAAGTTTTGCTTAAAATAGCTCAGCTTAACATAAACAGGCTGATCTTCTTATCTTGGCTCTCCCTTAACACATGACCTTGCTCACCCGCACAGCGTATCTGTGGTTCCCACACTTTACTCTGTAGCAGAGACACACATAGCAGCAGCAAGCTAAGGAAGGTGTAGTCTGACACGTAACCCTGATAATCTTCAGAAATATGTGAAAATTTGGAAGACAGGCAGGAGATAATGAACAGATTGTCCCAAGCCTCCCTGACACAAACAAAAGTCATTTCCACATCACAGATAATACACATCTTGGAAAGCAATCTCCACTATTAAGACTGTCAATAAAAACTCCACCCCAGGATCACACTGAGGTAAATTTGACTCAGACAGCAGTCCTGGCTGCCCAACTCTGGAGTCCTTGGATACCCCACAAAACAGTCACGCCTCAGTTACATGCAAAAGGGCTACCTGGGCAGTGAATCAACTGCACTGCAAGGACAGCCACCCCCAAAGCATCTCCACAAAAGAGATTTTCTCTGGCCTCATTCCCCATCACTTATTGCTGCCCCCGGCTCCTGCTCCTCCTGCCGTGCCCAGCTGAGCCATCATCTGGCAAGAGAGGGCACAAACCTCCAGCAGGAGCAGCACATGGCCCACAGTCAGGTTCGGTTTGTGGGTTTTAAAGCCATTTGTTTCAAATCAGCTTTCAGATGAAAATGAACAAGCTGCGTCTGTGCTTGAGTTTTCTTGACTCTGCCCCTGGGAATTTCCAAGCTTGGATGAGGCACATTGGAGCTGCTCTTGATATATACACACAGCCAGTGTATGGGAATTTTTATGAAAGAACTCACATGCAAGATGGCTCAATTTTGTTCAAAATCATAAAGAGTTAAGATATTAATTAAATGAGTTGATAATCTTAGGAAGATGCTTTACTAGCATTGAATCAGGAAGCTTTCACTGCCCATTAAACTCTGGCTCTTCTGCTTAGGTAGAATGAGAGCTGTTTAAAGCATGCTTTAATTCAGACTGAGGTGATCAAGACTCCTAGGGCACAGAGGCAGCCCCCTGTGTCCCCTTTGCCATCTGTAGGTGAGCACAGTTTGGCCACATGCCTGGAAAGTTTCAGACCAGCCATTGCTGCTTCCAAACGCAAGAGCTTATTCCAAACAGGGTCTCAGCTGTTCAGCTATTTCACTTATTCCATGGCTTTCCTTTTTACTAAAATTGTATCAGGCAAGTCAAGAAAGGCAAAGTGGGCTAGAAATTCCACCTTTTTTTTTTTTTTTTTAAATAAAAAAACTCCCTCTAACTCCCCCTCCTCAACCGAAGTCAGATGTTTAGTCATTAGGGAAGTAGCTGACCAAAAGGACAGAGAGGCCTTTGTGCAAAACGATAATCTAAGAGTATAGTATGACTACGTAAAGTTCAGAAAACTCGAGCAAAACCCTCAGACCAAGCAGGCAAGAGGTATTCTGTTGCAGAGCCAACAGATGAGTAATTTTCTCCAGTCCAGCCTGTAAGTAACACCACACAGAACTGTGGCTCTGACAAGGACCCAATTCAGCAAGCTACAGGATTTTCTTTACTCAACACTAAATGCTTAACACCTCAGTCAGTCCTATGCTTTCCAGGACTAGACATTACCTCCTTTTTTACATTCTTCCCCCTCTCTCCCCACAATCAGCATTACTCTGTCCTACCTTCCAAGGATAGGTCAGCCTCTTGCCCCAGTGGCTGCCAGAGTTTGCACCAAGCTTGCAAACCTGCACTGCACTACCTGCACTGCTGCAGACTTTAAGTCACTCTAGAAACAATTCTAGAGACCAAGCATGCTCCCCCACTACTTCTTTTTATCCCCGCCCATCCTCCCCTCACTTTTTTTTTTGAATTAATTAATTAAATAAACACCAGCAGCTGAATGCTGTCATGATTCTTAAGAGAAAATGCCCTTGCCTCTACTAATCAGGTCATCAGCACCTGAAACCAGATCATTATAAGGGAGGGCTGTGTAAATTTGCTCACAGGCCAACCCAAACAAAGATTTACTGTCTGTTTGTGCAAGAGGTGTGGGCTGAAGGAGGAGAACAGATGGAGAGGACAGTCATTTTGAGCAAGGCAAGCATCCATAGTGCAAAAATAAAGTCACTACAGCCTAAAAACATTACACTCACATACTTGGCAGCTCCCTGCTCATCTCTTGCATTTGAACCATCTTACATTGTGAAAATGAGCCAAAAATAGGATTATTCATTTTCAAAAATTACTAGCTCAGTTCGGTTTCCTTAACAACATACAGTAAGCAGCTTTTTGCCTAGTATCATAGGAACAAATTTGCATCTTACATATTTTGGAGGTTGTTCAATTATGGAGGCAGCAGCAGATAAAAAACTTAGGATCTGATGCCACCCAGCACCTTGTAAATCATTAGGCTGAGCCCTGAGGTCAGTGGGGATGGTCAGTGCTGTGTGGGATTGCACAGAGAGGTTATTAAAGGGTGTGCCAGCTTCATCTTTACAGAGCACCTTTGCCACGCAGAGCCCCTGGCTGCAGATGGGACAGACAGGGTGAAGCACAAGCACAAGTACAGCACAGCACATCATCCATCTCAACTTGCTCTGGCTCTACTCCATTTTCAGTCTGATTCAGTGCTGCAGCATTTTTCTCTATTCTTTCCTTTCTTGCACTAGTGTTAACATCAAGGGATTCTTTGGTGTCACACTAACAACAAAGATGGCATTTGCTGCTCTTGTGTAACCCCAAAAGCCAACAAAGAGGGAATCTTCTGAATTAAAATGGACAAAAGACATTCACTTGGGCCTGACAGGGACATGACAGATGCAAGGAGTCTGAACACCAGCAGTGGGTACAACACAGCATGAGGGAAGCCTTCAGATGCTTGTGTGTAAAATGTTTTGTGTATGTCCTCACCTACCTCTATCTGAAGTATTTTTTTATTTAGCCTTTGATGGAATGAATCCTGGCATTGGTACATAACTAAAAACTCCTGCTGCTGAAAATGCCCCAATGATGGAGAAGGAGGTTTACAGAGTGGCCTAAGTGAGATGAGAGTAAGTCCCTGGATGTCTCCATATGGAGAAGGAGGTTTACAGAGTGGCCTGAGACGAGAGTAAGTCCCCGGATGTCTCCAAAATCCAGCTACTTAGCCTTCAAAGGAGGAGGAAAGTAACAACATAGCCTTTACTGTTTGGAGTCT